TTACCCGCCTATAGAGGACCATGGCAAGTACTGGATGATCTAGTCTGGGTTAAGTCTAAAGAGTTTATTCCAGAAGAAAACATCTCTCAAAAGTTGTTACCTTCCTATAGAGGACCATGGCAAGTACTGGATGTGGTAGGAGATGTGGACGGACCCTCCTACATTATTGAAATTCCTCTACACCTACATACATACCCGGTGTTTCATGCGTCAAAGCTCTTACTGTGTGTAACTAATGAACTGTTCCCCAGTCGAAGATCAGCAATTCCCCCAAGTATGGATGGAAAGTTCGATGTTGATAAGATCGTTGCTGAAAGTACCATTCAGACTGGACGCAGAGGCATACCTCACCTACAATATAAAGTTCGATTTGCCTATCAAGATCCAAGTGAAGACCGCTGGTTTAGTAGAGAAGAGCTAATTGACTCAGCACCACACATTGTATCTGTTTATGAACGAGCAAGAAGAGGAATTAATATTGTGTGGATAGGTAAGAACTTTTCTCAGAGGACCTCGAAATTAGGCCGGCGAGAGTAAAAGGGCCTTTACGAATCAGACCCCGAATGGAAACCCCCACAGCAAAGGGCTCTGTCGGCCAGAGCTTAAGTTCGCGAACAGCAACTCAAAGGACAAAGTTCTTGAGGTAACAGTCACATCCATAATGAAATGGAAAGTCATTCTGAAAGGGTTATAACAGGTCATGCACGAACAGGTACTCGACACAGTTTTTGAGACTGAGAAAGGGTCATGTCTCCTTGATGAAAAGTCATGTTTGTTCGTCAATAAGTCAAAGGCTACAGTCCCAGTCCAGTCATAATTCCACAAGTCAGTCCTGATTCAGATCGGGAGTCCAAAAGACAGGCCCGATGGCCCAAGCAGCAGCAGACCATGGGAAAAAGATACAGGGACACACACTTTGCAACAATCGGTACTGGGCAGGAGTCCCAGCACACTTGAGGTTGAATGCAGGCCACGCCAGACCAGTCCAGCACTATAAAGGACTGGCCAGCCTTCCATTCAGACAAATGCGCACTTCGCATGGAAGTGTGGAAGTGTTGTAGCACTTGTGCGCTAGATGTGTGTGAGTTGCGCTAGGCTGTAGAGCAGCGCTGTGCGAGAAAGAAGAGAGTGTTGGCAAGAGGGAAGGCAGCCATAGCTGCACCAGCAGAAGTTAGTAGCAATAGAGGGATTAGTAGTAGTAGTACCAGTGAGTAGTATTCAGAGTAGATCCTCGTGTGATAGGGAGTGTGCATGCATGATGAGTGAGAGTAGACTAGTACTATAGACCAGGAGGGAGAGGGAGAAGAAAAGAGACAAGAGAGGGGGAGGTGCGAGTTATGGTGATACTTATCTATTGAGCGTTGAACACCAGCAGTTTGAGTTTGAAGGCGCATGGAACTCCTTCCTGCAGAGGTTTGCTGAGGAAGTGGATAAACATATAATAGCCTGTGAAGAAAAATTGGATGAACAAATAAGTAAAAGATTATGTAACCCTGCCGTGGTAAAGAAACTAATAGCTGGCGGCGGAGGAGATGGAGGGGACGGAGATGGAGATGGTGGAGATGGAGACAAGAAGAAGAAGGGAGTGCAAAAAAAGAAACATTGGAAGTATGGAAGATTAAAGTAAAAGTATTGTGGTATGGTTGGAGATGCTATGAGTTTCGCAATCTCCTTGCAAAAGGAAGCAGGTTGCGCCTCCATGGTGAAAATCTCTCAGCAAATGCGAATTGAAGACTTCTTTAAAGTTGTTCGAGAAAGGTCCGAGGATAAAAATCTAGCCACAAGAACGGAAATGCTGATTCTGAACATCGCAGATAGGAAATGGAAGAGTGTGTCTGCACTCAAGGCCACCATGGATGAACTTCTACAATGCGCTGAACACGGACTTACCCCAACACAGATTTTGAATAACTTTGCTAGGGCACTTCCCGATCCTCTCCGTACTCGGTTGTATCCCCGTACCAAGGAGGAGGGGATGACATATGAGAAATTCAGCAAGATTGCTATAGATCATGCTGGTTTTCTATCTGAAGCTAACTACCGTTACTATTGGAAAGATTTGCAAGCGGGAAAGAAATGGCAGAACCGCACAATCTCAGGGAATATACCTGGGAAAGACAACCTTCTTCTGACCTTTGAAGAAGGAGGTGTCGAGACTCTCTCCTACGATCAAATAGATTACAGTCTGGAGGGAGGCCCAACGGAGGACCCAACGGATCGGTAGTCCAGGAGGGGGACTACGCGGCCGTTGCAGCCCGCGGGCGAGGGCGACAAGGAAGAGGTCGTGGTCGGGGAAGAGGAGGCCGCGGACGTGGAGGAAGAGGACCCGACACCCAGAGGGGTGGTGGCGAAGGTAGCTACTACGTGGGTGGAAGGGGCAATGGTCCCTCGCAAGGTGGCCGAGGTTTCAACTCCACTTGGGGAAGAGGAAGAGGCACGTGGTATTGAAACTGGGATAAGCCATATCCGCCCCATCCAGGTTTGCCCGAAGGGGAGCCTTGGAAGCAATTGGGGATTACAGAAAAAGTCTGGCAAGAAAGAAAAGTTGTTGACCAGTGTCTTAAGTGTGGTGACCCCAACTACATTGTTCCCTACTGCCCGGACTATAAGGTACCAAAAGGGAACAACCAGTAGGGGTTTCAGTTGCCTCTACAGGAACTTCGGATGCAAATAGACAAACATCCTCCCATCCGAAGGTTCCATTGGCAAAAACTTTAAAGAAAGACGATCCCCACCTAGCTAACTGTCCAGAGGTAGCTAGTGTATGTACCTCTCTAGGTGGATCCCTCGCAGGCATAGGTGATGAGTTGGCCACTCGTCGCAAAGCATGGATCGAAATGAAAAAGTGTAAGGGACAATTGATAATTGCAGATCTAGAAGTTGATGAGGTAAGAGTTGGAGGTACGATTGACAACGGGTCAACACGCAGCTATATAAGTAAAAAAGGGCTTGCAAAAGTTGCGACTCGGACTTAAGGTAAAACAGTTAGATGAGTCCGTAATGAGTAAACTAGCTAATAATACCGTGACTGTAATGGATAGATATGTTGAAGGGGTCCAGGTATACTTTCGGCTCGAAGCAGAGGGGAAGGTAGAACGTGTTCTCCACTCTCTGACTCTCTTGGTGGAAGATAATCTTCCTTTTGACATTCTTTTAGGCATGGATTAGGGTGAAGCTGCAGATGCGGATATAAAGTTAAGGGATCATGAATGTTGGCTCCCTAGTCTGCAAGGTGGAAAGAAGAAAATCCGCCTATTCCACGAATCTGGTAAGGAAAGCAGCTTAGCTCATTGTTGTATGAGTGCCCCCGCGTTCGCCCGCCATGTAAAGAAATATAATCTGTATGATCAAGTGTTTGTGGCATATGTGCGTCCAGTTAAGGAAAGTGAAGACAAAGAAGAGGCAGAGTCCCCAGAAGTTGAGAAAATTATGAAAGAATTCACAGATGTGGCAAAGGCCCCAAACGGTGTGGTAAAACGACCCATAAATACCCGGAAGTCAAATTTCGAAGGGGCCGATTTATAGAATGTCACCCAAAGAATTGAATGAATTGCGAACCCAGCTTGATGAAATGTTGGAAAAGGGATGGATAAAGCCTAGCTCCTCACCTTATGGTGCGCCAGTGCTATTTGTGCGAAAGAAAGATGGCGGGGTCCGCATGTGCATAGATTATAGAAGAGTGAATGACATAAGTATTAAAAATGTTGAGCCACTACCAAGAATCGACGATCTATTGGATAGAGTTCAAGGAAGCAAGTACTTCACTCAGATTAATTTGAAGTCTAGCTACCATCAGATTGAGGTAGAGCCAGAAGACCAACATAAGACTGCCCTTCGCACAAGGTATGGGCATTCTGAATTTGTTGTGTTGCCCTTTGGTCTTACTAATGCACCTACAACCTTCCAACGTACGATGAATGAACATTTTTGTGAGTGGCTCGATAAGTTTGTAGTTATATATCTTGATGATATCTTGATTTTTAGTAAAAGTCTGAGTGAGCATTGTGAGCACCTTCGACTTGTGCTGAATAAATTGCGTGAGGCAAAATTGAAACTGAACCCAAAGAAGTGTGAGTGGGCAAAGCGTCAGGTGTTGTATTTGGGGCACTTTATAGACGAGTCGGTATCAAACCGGAAGACGCAAAGATTGCAGCTATTCGAGATTGACCCAATCCACGTACATTGACAGAACTGTGATCGTTCCTTGGGTTGGCTAACTACTATCGAAAATTCGTAAAACATTTTACGATAATTGTTGCTCCCCTTCCCAGATTGCTGAAAAAGGAAACTATATGGAAGTGGGAGCAAGATTGTACATCCTCGTTTAAGCGTCTTAAGAAGTGTTTGATTAACTATCTGGTTTTGAAAGTTGTTGATCCTTCTTTGCCCTTTGTTGTTACTACTGACACCTGTCAGTATGGGATAGGCACTGTACTTCAACAAGATGATGGAAATGGATACAAGCCTGTAGAGTTTATGTCCCGATGACTGCCTAGTGAGAAGGTTACCGCTTCCACGTATGAAAGAGAGTTGTTTGCTCTCCGACACAACCAACCATGCATATGCATGCACTGGTCATGCGGAACTTACCTGAACAACCAACAAATCTCTGGAGGGCAATAAGTGACACCTCCCTCTACGTTGTCCAGTCTACCTCTCTTCTCACACTACGGTATTGGTCTGCCCTGACACCTAATGCATACCAACTTGACCTTGCATTTTGCCGAGCTAGGGGTCGTTGAAGAATATTGCCTCATCTCATGCTCTGGAATCCATGGCCTCCCCCCTCAATGTGGAAGAAGAAATTTGTCTAGGTCAACCTCGTCTGCCTGGATGTCCTCCCCATGTACCCCTTTCCTCTTAACAACAATTCACATTCTCTCCCGCCTTCATCTTGCCAACCCTAATCTGGCCAACCCAAATGACAGGTACAGTTGTTTTGATACCCTCGGATTTAGGGTTACGGAAGCCGGTAAGTAACTCGCCAACCCCAAACTTCCAGCCGAATCCTGATCCAAGATAAGCATGTTTGACACCTATCGTAATTAGGGTTAGGGAAGTAGGAAAGCCACTTGCCACCCTAGACGAACCTCATCCTGACCTAATCTGAATTTAACTGCCCTAATGAACTTGGAACTTGGATCAGGGTCAGGGTTGTTCGAACACCTCAAACAAGCATATAAGGTCTAGCTCAGGGTTGCATCCCCGCCGACCGCCGACGTCGACCGCCGACCCCGACTGCCGACCGTATTGCAGCCGACCAGTCGGGCCGACCGGTCGGCGGTCCGCTGACCACTCATAAAACAGCCTTCCACTGATTTTTTTAAACTGATATGGGGGTTGTACTGCGCTTGCTGAGCACAGCCCAAATCCGGTGAGAAACTTGGGTTGTCAACAAGTTTTGTTCGGGGTGGGTTTTTTTTTTTTTTTTTTTTTTTGGGGGGGGGGGGGGGGGGGGGGGGTCAACTCATAGGGGGTGGTCGGGGGTCTGGTAAGGGTGTGTTGGCCCTTTGGGGTGGGTTGCCTGAGGGGCTGTTAGAGGGTTCTGAGGGGCTTGCTGGTATGGACCGTTTTGCAGCAATTTTCTGCATTTTGCAGTGGTGTTAGGAGGTAGGGTGTTTGGGTCAAGGCCCCAGGGGTGTTTGGGGGTCCCGTCGGGGGGGGTTGGGGGGGGGAAGACAGGAAGTAGAGCAAGAAGATGAACCAAGTCCGCAGACGTGCACAATTTAATTGCATAAAAGCATTACCTTGACAGGAAGATGAACAAGAAGTCGAACCAAGTCCCCAACGTTTGACAAAACCGAGGCAAGATTTGATCCCACCGGGGCCACCCTAGAAATGAAGGAGACTGAAGAATAGGAAGACGAAGAAGAAGACGAAGATGATGAAGAGGAGAAGAAGAAGACGAAGAAGAAGAAGAAGAAGAAGTGGAAGTAGTAGTGGAATAAGTCTCTCTCTCTTTCTCTCTCTCTCTTTCTCTCTCTCTCTTTCTCTCACACACACACACACACACACACACACACACACATGAAGAACACACTTTCATTAACGGCTGCTACTCATGTCAAATGACGACGATGTCGACCTCGATTGGGACGAAGACGCGGAAGGCCAAGAGCTGCTGCTACTCGATTCATTGTCCGGTTGCACACGTTTCTTCTTCTTCTGCGGTCCGCGTTTCGACGATCGATCTGCTGCCGCGGCTTTCTTTTGCACTCGTCGAGCCTTCTTCCTTTTCGCCTATCGAACAACAACACTCTTTTCTTCCAAGGTCTCGGGCGGCGTGACAGTCTTGCGTTCATTCCTTCTTTCACCTCTTGTCTTGGGTGCCGCTGCCTCCTTTTCCTTGTTCTTCCCTCCCTTCTTTCCGCCCGCCAAACTGTTCACTCGGTGCACCTTGCTCTCGTCAATGTCGGGCGGTGACACCGTTGCACGGTGTGCATTCATGTCATGTGGTGGGGTCGCTCCACCTTCCTGGACTGGAGTTGGCCTCCGCCTGTAAATTTGGGTGTGTGTGCCCTCCCCAACGACCAGTGGAATGTCCTCGTTCAACCGAAGAGTGGGCGGGGTTGGTCCGCTGAATCTGGCCCAATCAGGGGTGTTAGACTCGTCATCAGTGTGCATCGGGAACACCGAAGCCAGGTGCTTACAAAAGTCTTGTGCAGAGCCACGCGGGGCAATAGGGGCCACGTGCTACAACAGGGAGGCGAATCTCTCCCCCAATCGCAACCTCGGATCCGGAGTGGAGAACCCATCGCTGCTCGCAATGGGACCATTGTCGGTCCCCGTGTCGGCACCAACAACACCATCGTCAACTGCACTGACAACACCATCCGTAGCAGTGGCACTGGCTGGATTATCCCCATGCTCACCAACTGGATCATCCCCTTGCGCATCAATTACCGCATCAGCCTCCGCCGGAGCAACGACAATGGGGCCGTCCATGTCTGCACCAACAGACGTATCTGCCTCCATCGCATCACTGTCAAGGGGGACATGCGCCGACCCACCGGGTGTGGTCCCACGAGCAGTGCCTGCCTCCTCGAGAGTTGGTCGCCGATGACGAGTGAGCTGTGCTCCCAAGAGTGAGGCGGTCCCCTGCACGGAAGTTGCAACGCCTAATATGGAAGTCCGACGTCGTGAACGAACACCCTCCTCTGGCATCGTGATGTGGTCACGCGTCTCCAGGCTCAATAGATTTCTCCTGTTTGTGTGAATGAGGTCGAAGGTGGACCAATTCCTCTCGCATGGAGAGGCGGTTGTCCACATGCTGAGCACAGCGACTACAATCTTCTGCAACGACTTGTGATTCTTCCCATATGTCAACCACCATTGCGCCGGTGAAACATGAGTGCATGCCAAAGCCTCCTCTGAGTTCGGCTGAATCCACTCCGGAGTTTTGTGATGGAAACTTTCCAAGGACCTCCAACACTCTTTGTACTCCCTCGAATTTTTGGTGTAAACCGCAGCAAAGTGCGCCAGAGTGTTCATGATCTCCACAAACTCCAAGTTGTCGAATAATCTAGGCGACCTGTGGAGTGGGTGCAACATCCATGCTGCTGCGTGCACAGGGAGAGCCATCATCCGCACACGCCCCTTTACCTTCTTCATCACAACGTGGGCAAAACAACCATCCTCTTCTCCAACGTGATCCCCAAAGACCACACCTGCATCCCCATCCTCCTGTCTTTGTCCATGTCCCTTGACGGCCAACCACCAAGCCGGGTCTCGTATGAGATCCTTGCATGCTCGCGCCCTTGACGCTGCAGTCCGGTCCCATGGGGAATCATCCCAGCACGCATGGGACACTGTCGCCAACAACACTGCGTCCACCTCCCGTAGTCTCTGCAGCATGACGAAGTTTGGGCCAAATCTAGTTTCCCTTGGTTGGATCAATTCCAACGGCCTACCGTCTTTGATGCCCAATTGTGTCTTATACTCCCCCCCGGCCCTCCTGAACATCGCCAATGCTCTCTGATGTCTCTTGATGAACGTGGTGATCTCCCTGCCCTGTAGAATCACCTCTCCAGTCCATGGCACTAAAGCGATGTCGCACATGAGCAGGTTGAACACATGGCATGCACATGGCACCCAAGGAATGCTCCTCATCGCCGAGTCGGCGTGGTCAGCTAGTATTTTCCTTATGGATATGTTCACCTGTGCCGAGTCGGTGCATATGGCATTGACCCTATGCACCCACAACTCCCTGATGACCTCCTCCCACATCCTTGCCAAAGCCGGAGCCGACTTGTCCTTCCCCTCCATATCGACACTCTTCACCATGAGAGCCCCGAATCCCCGGCCGCAATGGAGTTTATGACCGGCCTGTTGCTGGTCGTTGTAGTACCGTCTGTCATCAAAGTGAGGCCTGTGACATCCCATGGCTCACGGATCTTGTCCAAATCAGTATCCACAGTTTTGTACTCCGCGGGGAGTGCCTTCGTCCTCAAGAAGTTGTACCCTGACAGTTTCAACATCTTCCGCGACCTGGCCGCCTCGTTCATGATCCTCTCCATGTTCTTATAGGAGTCTGATCTTGCAGCATTGAATGCAGTAGTGTTCGCGAAGAAGAATGAGGCGATCGCCTGGTCAAACTCTTTCTGGAGGTCATGAACGACAAAAGCGACCATGGATGTCTGCTGCCGCCTTGCACCGGTCGAGGGAGGTCGTGATGGGCGAGCGGAAGCCAAGACGGGACCCCGCAAGTGCTCGGCAATCATTGATGGCATCTCATCATCCGTGCAAGTGCGGGCTGCTATGTTCCCTATGGAGGTTGATCCCAAACCAATGCCGCTCCCTACCTCCGGCGTTGGACCTGCCTTGTAATCTGCCTGCGACGAAGGTGTGTCATGACCACCCTCCCCCTCTGCTGATCCGGCTCCAAATCCACGGGATCCTCCGCGACCGGCGGACGGCTCTGCGTCCTGTAATACTCATTCAATTTCTTCATCATCAATGGGCAGATTGCTTGTGATGGATGGAACTTGCGGACCGCAACAGCAATCTCGCTGGGGCTGTGCTTGCAGTGAGCAGGTTCTGACGACTGGACAAAGTGCTTCGCCGCTCTCGACACCGTTCCGGTGAACTCTTTGTGGCACAATCTGCACCGCAATCTCCAGTTGCCATGTGACGTACCGCCCAACAACTTCTGCCCTCGGTTCACCCATTTCCAAACACCGGACTTCCTCAGCTGTTCCTCTTTAGCTTCACCAGTACTGGGCACGAATGGTTCCCGATTAGCTGCCATGGTCGTCAAAAAAGACGATGGAAGAAGGGGTGGGTGCTGGTGGTAAGAAGAAGAAGAAGAAGAAGAAGACGGCTGTTGAGTGCCCTGCGAATTTCCGAATTAAAAAAAAAAAAAAAACGAAGTGGGGGTGGGTGATGGTGGAGGGAAGACGATGAAGAAGAAGAAGAAGAAGAAGAAGGGGTGGCTGTTGAGTGCCCTGCGAATTCCCAAATTAAAAAAAAAAATAAAAAAAATTGAAGTGGGGGTGGGTGATGGTGGAGGGAAGAAGAAGAAGAAGAAGGGGTGGCTGTGGTGGAGGGAAGAAGAAGAAGAAGGGGTGACTGTCGAGTGCCTGTCTCTTATACACATCTAGATGTGTATAAGAGACAGCTACACGGCCGTTGCAGCCCGCGGGGGA